CCAACATTTCTCGTGAGTGGACTGCGAGGACAATGGTGTATCCCACACAGCACACAGCTCACATCTCGGATCCAGATGTGCGTTATTTAAGCAGCGTGGCCCAGGCCGAGAAAAAAGTGGGAATCGAAACTTGAGTGACCTCGAACGAATCGATTCTTCCGGGAAACTCCTCGTCCCGGAAGCATCAAACGCAGAGCCCAGCAATTCGAGGCGACCTCTGCCTTCAGTTGAGTTTTCTGCCGCCTGTTTCCCATTTTGGCGTCAACGGCAGATGTTTCTCAAGTCCATTCGACGCGATTGAAGAACGCATGAAGCCATCGAGAGAGAAACCATGTTTCAACGAGAGCGGGACATCGCTAAGACGTTCCTAGGCTCTTGATTCTCGGATTTCTTTATCGGCCGCCGTCCCTACTTCAAACATTCCGCATCGGTCTCCGGAGGGCTCCCCCGAGTCAAATTCTCGACCAGTACCGCATTAGAGATTGTGGAAAGGACGAGATGCTCAACCTGTAGCGGGGAAAGTCCATGAAGCGGAAACCGCGGACATAGATGCGACGTGGTCATAACCAAAAAACTTTTTCGGGCTGATCCACACAGCCAAGGTTTAACGTCCCGGGTACTGTTATTCACATTGCTTCCGAGGACGGATCCATACATTACGGTACATTTGCTCTATGGACGTGGTCATAACCAGCAAACCCGAAATCCTGAGCGAATTCGTGCAATCACTCCGAGAAACGAACTCGCTGTCGACCGGTCGCAGGCTCGGCGCACTGCGGAAGCCTGAGTCCTGGATTCCATTCTTGAGCATGCTGTTCGACAGCAAACCTCTTCCCCGGCTGCGAGCGGGAACGTGGTCGCAGAATCGGTTGCGTGTTGCGTGTCGCCGGTGTGAGTGCAGTTCCAGGACACGCCAGCTGGAAAGGCTCGTCGGGCCGCCATGTGGTTCCGCAGTGCGTTGACCAGCACTGTGCTTAATTTGCATGCTTGGGGTCATACATACGGGCAACAAGTTTGTGCGTCCTCTAATGGGTGGCTTGCAGCCGAGGAGGCATTGCTGAATCCCGGATTAGTCGGTCCGCTCGGGAAGAGCTCGTCGGGATGATGACCGGTGTCTGTGACAGCATGCACTGGATTAAGAGGGTCGCGTCTGGCCATCATGAGTAGAACTAGAATGTCGGGCTCTCAGAGTACATTCATTTGGGAGAACAGACCACTCTGAGCATTCACCGGTTTGTTTCGTCCCCAAGAGGAGCCCGAGCGGCATATGGATCTTGGGCGTGTCAAACAAACACGGAGGAAAGATCCTCCGAAGGTCCGACGGTATCGAATCACCGGGAAGAAATCGGATGGTCAGCGTGATGGTCCGATGAGTAGGCGCAATGAACAGAGACGAAACGACGATGGCGACGTCTGCGCCCCGAGAGGAATTCGGAGATTCTCGAGAAATAATTAATAGTCGAGACGAGTGAACCTCAGGCGAGACTTGACATTTTCTCGGTGTGCGCGTTCCGTGAGGGAGCGACATGATAGTAGAGATATTGTGAAACACATTCCCGGGTGACACAGGGCTGACGACATTCAGGTCGCGTTCCGTCGCGAGGCAGGGGCGTCCGATAGCTGCAGTGGACACGATCGAAGCAATTTCAGCATTCTCTGTTGTCGGAGCGTCCTCGCAGTCCTTCATATGTGAGGCATCGCGTCTGATTCGATTCCCAATAATTTGTCGCCTCTCCCTGTGCCGAGCATCAGTTGCCGGTCCGTATTCGGGACACTTATCTCATTTTGAGCGAAGAAAATCAGAGCTCCAAGCTCTTCGAGAGTTCTCAGTCGCGTCGTTATGATCCCTAGCGGAGAGGAACATGGAGCGTCCGTGACGACCGATTTGCGCCAAAACATGCGGTCGGCCCATGCACATGTTCTTGATCCTTGCGATCCGCCTCCTCGCCGTGAGGTACGATGTACAAAAGACATTCCGAAGGGATTTCCCCCGGTTGCGGAGCTCAGACAGATGAGGGACTTCAATGTGGGTCGTTTCCCCGATGAGCTCCTCCCGCAGCCGCGCAGGCCTTCATCCAGGCTGCGAGTGCGATAAGCGCTGCTCAACTGAGTTCCTCCGCGAAATGATGGATGATATTGAAGCGCCCCATCGCTCTTCATGGATTTTCTGATGATGAGGACGCGATATTTCGTGGGAACAATCTATAGACATATGCATAAATATATTCCAGATCCGTTTTGACATCGCGGTAGTTGCAGTCTGTGCTCGGAAGCGACTTATGGGACTAGGTCTCTCGAAGCTCATCTTCGAACGCAGGATTTCTACGGGACGATGGAAATGCGCGGCAGGGAAAACCACGAGATTCTCCAAAATCTTCCACATGCTTCCACCGAGAACGTGCTCCGACGGGGTACATATGTATGCATGTGACGCGGGAAAAACGATATGAGCTACGTGGCCGTTCCAAGGAGCCAGGAATTTTAGGAAATCAAGCTATTATTGTATCGGCAGTAAACTATCAGCGGTCGAGAAGAGTCCGGCCGAAGTTCTTTCGTCGTGCTCGGGCTCACGACCGGCTCTGCGGCGCGAGTAGTGTGCTCCCTCTACTCGGTAACTATCGCGATCTTACATGTACACAGTGGAGGACGTACACGCTCCACATGTCCCTGCCGGCGCAGCATGGGGCGCGTGTGCGTTTGTCCAATCCGATACGGCTTTCGAGGGCATCGTTGTACTTCGACCTCACTTCTGAGTCGACCTCGTCAGTTCTCGCGGAGCCAGCTGGCGCTCTATTTCGAATGGCTTATTATTCGATGACAAATTCGCTCACAAGCTCGTAGCCGGGGGCGTCAAACAATGGCAGTCGAGTCCCTTCAGAACTCCATGCTTGGAAGGCGCAAACTCGGTCAATGAGTTAGTCGGAGGTTACCCGCAACGCTGGGTTTCGAATCCGGAGCTCAACAGCCACTCGAGCTCCGAATAGCGAATGCCAGTCCATGGGAGAATTTATCGTTTTCTCGGACTCTACCAGCTTTCCATGATTCGGAGTCCCTCCGACCACATCCCGATTCTGTGCGCTCGTTTCCATGAAGTTCCGGCGGCATCTGCCCCAAGGAAGAAGGTCTTAACTCCTAACAGCGAGCACAAGAGCCAAGAAGCATTCTAGAGCCATGAAAATGAGGCTTTGAAAATGAACTTGACCACAGCGTTCAAAAATTCCCCTCCACTCATGCTTGGTCCCGAGTGTTCTCGGATGACGCCCGCTCCTTCGCCACGAGCTTTTTAATGCAGAGCCACTCCGGTTTCTGTTTGCTCTGCTCTGCGTCACGAGGTTTCTGCTATATTTATCCGATAACTTGGAGGCTTCTTCATACTCCAGCAGGCTCCGGGGTCTGAAATCAGTGGAAATGACGTGAGCGATGAGGTCTCATCGGGGCGAAATAAATAAGAAGACCCAGGGCGGAACGATCAGGTCAACGGTCGGAAAGGGACTCACTGAACGAAATGTCCCCAGTCGTCCAGAGGTATATCATTGGAGCTCGTTTTTCGGGAAAAACATAAGGAGCATCGTCTGCGGGTCGAGTCGAACAGGCTTCTACCCAGTGCTCACCAAGATACCGGATGAGACCGTGATATTAATGGTTCCGTAGAGCCTCGTCGGAGGTTTCCCACCTGTGATCCTGTTTTTCCGGATGGTTGCCGGTGCTGTTTATTGAGGAGCGAGACTGCTCGGTGGCACTCGCGTGGCCGCAATATCCGCTAATACGTGCTAATGGTGCGAGACAAATTTCTGTCGAATCATTCTGCTACTTCACATGGGGGCACAGAGTGCAAAGAGCTTCTTCGCAGGTCAACGGCATTGTTTCGAGACGCGACTAATGGTTCGGAACGCTGGCGTCGACATTAAGGCCCTGACGAGGAACGAGCGGTGGGGAAATTATTCCTAACGCATAGTGGGCCATCATGGGTGGGGATTCATGGAGAAAGATTGATATTGCCCCTCTCAACAAACTCATACATTTTCGCGTTGAACCTCCATCCACCGGAAGCGGGAGAGAATCCCAGACTCACTGAACTCCCGAAATCCGCACGGCGGCAATCGGAATTCAAATTCCGCTTGTCTCACAGTGATTCGAACCTTGGACGGCTGCTTCAAACACTGGACGGAAATTTGACGTTCAGCCATGGTGCCTTGAGCGTCCTCCGCCCATCTTCCTCTACAGCCACGGAGCGCGTGACTATAGAAAGAGAGGGAAGAAGTTTCAGGACACTGAAACAAAAAAATTCAAGATTCGTTGTCGGCGAAGAGTCTTGCCGAGGCACGTCTCCTCTATCATGCAAATTTGGCTCGGGACGTCATCTGCAGATTTGACGCTTACCGCAATGTCATGGGGACCTGACGGATCTCATGCAAAGAGTACAATAACGCTCGCTCGCCTCTCGAATCCCATGCGCGATGCGAGTTTTCGGAGCGTCACGCCGACCGTCTCTACCGGAGAACGTCGTGAGCCGCAGACGGTCCGGCGTTTTGTTTTGACATCGGATTTACGATACACTCCCACAAGTCACGCACCTCAAGCTCCCGGTGAACCCCAGAGTGAGATCCATTAGTTCCGCTCCCGAGAGGATTGCGACCAGAGTTTTGTTATGGGATTACGAAACGGGCGGAATGCGGCGGCAGCGGGAGCAGCTTGAACGCTTTGAGGAGCAAGGCGACAAAGAAACAGGCGTTCATCCCCAGACAGCCGTCTTCACCCTTTAATGGAGCCGTCTCCAGCTCAAGTCGGCCAGCGAAGCGAAACTTCCTCGACGAGCGTTCTGAGGACACGCGTGAAGTTGAGTTGACATGCGAGAGGGAGAAAAGCTTCGCCCAGATTTCGCAGAGCGGACGCAGGACAACAAATCCCGTCCGAGTTAAGAGTGTTCGCCTCCCGCAAATCGGAAGACGATAGCAGATCGAGAAGAAGAAACGTAACTACGTTCTTTCTGTTCGTTTCAGTCGGAACACGGAGCTGCTCCTCGTCGGCTTGTTGACATTTCTCGCATCGAGTCTCCTCTGGTCGAGTCTGACGTATGCCGTAGATAGTGAGCTTGAGCATCATTCGTTGGAGCAACACGTTGCACACAAAGACGGAAGACGTAGTGAGTGAATCGTATTTAGAAGCGAACACACGAGGTTCATGCATTCCTTCGCTCCCCGTTCCTTTCGATTGAAGCCACAATTTCGCCTCATAGAATTCCGCTCCTAATGAAACCCGAATATCTTCGCAGTCTGCATTTCGAGAGAATGCGTAACCACAGGTAAGACTTGGACCCATTACTGGTGGGCAGCGAGGAATGGGAAAGACGTTGCGCTTGGGGGACCTCCCCGACCAGTGTCGAGCGTGATGATTAGAATCAATAAGCTCGATTTCATCGGCAAAGAAGGGAAGGCATCATTGCGCCTGACTGCCGAGATCCGCGCACTCGATTCCCCCGCTGACGTCTATGATTATTCAGCTGCATCACTTCTGAATGCGATGGATCCCAACGCCGATCCCTGCCACGACTTCTTCCAATACGCCTGTGGGACGTGGAACAAGGTTCATCGCATACCGGACGACAGACCGTCGATATCGACCTTCGAAGTTCTTTCCGATCAGGTTCAGCTGAAAGTCAGAGGTGATTTTGAACGCCGCCCTGAGTGTCTCAAGCCTCTATAATACAATCTGAATTCCTTCCATTTTATTATTACTTTTAACATTCTGATAGCAGGAAGATCTCCCATTGACCTTGGGACCGCATCTTTCAGATTTACTGGAAGAGCCTATCGGTGACCGTGAGAACCCTGCTTTCGTAAAGTCAAAACAACTGTACAAGGCCTGCATGAACAGTAAGTGAGGTCGCTTGGCTCTCTACTCCGGATCAGCGGTGTAGATCATTCGCACCTCGAGCTCCCTAAGAAAGCGGTCCTCAGCCTGGGTTCCGCGAGCCCCTACTCGGTTTCCCAGACTATAATTCATTTCATCGAAATGGACTGAATTTTCTGAGCTCCAAAGCATGAAGATACTTCATGCGATCGTGGTCGAAGGTTTTGCGGTGACTAAGGGTAAAATATGGAAAGAAAGAGTTCGAAACCAACGATAAGGGTTCCGCAGGGCAAAACAGGTTAAGAACCCCTGCTCTAAGATATTAGATTTCCAAGAGAGAGCTCTCATTGCAAGTTCCGAAGTTGGGTTCCCTCCTTATTACGCCGTCTTTCTTACTCAGTTGGAGGCAGAGATGACCTCGGAAATAACAATGTTTCACCGTGATGAACGTGCTCCCAGGAGGGGGCTGTTCCCTTCCGGATCTCTCACGTCGGTTACCCCGGCCCTGTCCACCGAGTCGCACATGCGCCCCGAATCGGCTCCTCCCGTTTCTACGTACACTTGCCGCTCGAGAAAACCGTGACCAAGGGGTGAAGAGTCCGAGGTCTTCCATGGAGGTGGATTAGCAGAATCGATTTAACAGCCGACCGTTGACGGCAACGAGCCAACGACTCCCCCTCTCCCCTCCGCGGGCATGAGCGCAGCTCGCGATTCCTCGTGCGGATGGGACTGAGGCTCAAAAGTCAATTGTTCCTGGTTGGAAGGCATTGGGAGATTCACGCGAGTCATCGCTTTCAAAGCTGAGCGCGACGGCGCTCTCGTGTCCATCGATACCATTCTAATCATCAGCACTCTGATTGTGCAGGCAAATACAAAGCGCGTGTCAATCGCCGGTTGCCCGTCACAGGGACAGGGTATATAAGAGGAGTCAGCGATCGCAGGTCTAAGCCTCAATTGGCGCGATTCCTCACGGCGATAGCTGTATCAGCGACGTTTTATCGCAACGCCTGATCCTGGCGAATACATTAGGCGATGCAGTCGGGAACAGGAGCGGCGCGTGTCAGCGATAAGGGGTCGGTCACTGACGTCCATTCAAGCGTCGCCTTCATGTTCACTCCGACCTATCAATAGGTGGATTCGCTCCCAACGTCTGTCGCCTCTGCATGCACCCCGACTGTTCCTGCTGCTCGCAGTAATTCCGGGTGGAGTTGGACGACGGGCTCCCTCGATCTTCCAAAAATCTGGAAGCCTATTTTCGGAGGACGGGGAATCTTACCGTCGGAGTCTGCCTCAGAATTCTTTTTGTCATGCCCAGGGCCAGTCAGGCTGCAGCTTCCGCAGGGCTCTGCCGTCGCGTCGTTCCAAAAATGATATCCAGAGAGGTCATCAAGCACCTCTATCACGTGTGGTGATCGAGGTGCTTGATATATTCATGTGCTTAGCATATTTTCCTCTCGAGTGAGAATCGCTATTCTGATTCTACTCGGAAAGTCCCAGGTTTTCATGTCGCCGCTACTTCACTCCTTCCGGTTCAGTCAGATGTACGTCAGAACCTGTCACGTTCCTGAACTTGAGGATGATTGCCAGAAATGGTTTCGAAACGTCTATGAACTGCACGAGGGAAAAAACCCCAGACCCATTGTGAGGCGAATGGATTCCACGTGCGTGCTTATGCCGCTGGCAAAGGACATGACCTCTGAGAAATATTGTGAGGTTACACACGCGTTTTGAAATTCCAGTTTCGACCTCACCTGCTCTTCAGGCGACAGTCTCCCGACGGCCGGGACCGTTCCCGAACTTTGGTTTTGGCTGCGATTTCAAATGCCCCAGCCTAGCCCCCAATACCTGGAAGTCAGCGCGGCTCGCTCTCCTCGTGCAAGAAAGAAAGAAAGAAGTCTTCACTCCGTGATCTCACCCCTCGAAATCACTTGGTGACCGAACGATCCCGGTGGGAACCGATTGCGTCGGATTCCGCAATGAGCTTCGGTCCATGATAAATATATTCCCGAATCTGTGGCCGAATGAACTAGAATACCCACGCACGAGAAGAAAATCATGTGAAAGCATCTCGAAAATGGCGCGCCTCATGGAGAGACACAGCGAGCAGCTCGATACCCCGCTCGAAGCACGAGCGGGAGGATGTCTCATAGGTGGCTCGAAATTCTGAAGTTCAGAAAGAAAAATCGTTTATGGTCTTCAACAGAACCGTTATCGTCGGGCTTCTGTTGGAGCATTTTGATGGGCTTCAGTCGGGAACTTTTTCTGCCATATACTTTTATATGAATTCTGCAAAACAGGTGCGTAGTTTTACGGATGTAATTTTCCACCCCCAAACAAGCAACCATCCGCTCCCAAGAGAAAATTATTCAGAAATATTGGGCCTCTGAGCTTTGCGGCTCATGTTCAACTCTCAGGTTGCAAGTAGCGGCTTTCGCTTTTTTGCATAATCAGTCTTAGCGCCTCGAATTCTCGTCGTTTTTCCCTCCCAAGACATGACCCCATATTCGCCACACACCTCAAATCCAAAGCACCCATGAGACGTTCGCTCGTGCTGCAATATCTCGGGCCAGCGGCAAGATGACACGTACCCAGTCAGCGCAAAGGGAAAGACAAGTCATGTCCGCGGCGTCCGTCACAGATGTGCTCTTTATGGGAACTGTCGCTCCCTAGTCGGAAAAAGAATCTAATTAGAGGAGGTTCCGTGGCGTCCCTCGAGAGAGTCATGTTCTTTGTTGCCCGCGAGGACTAGATGAAGGGATTCCTGCATCGTCTCTGAATGCGCGAAAGTGAGGCAGCAACGCTCCGAAAGCTCCTCCGTTTACTGTTCACTTCCCACGACCAGATCCTCAGACGAGAGCATCTCGCAGAGATCCGAATTATGTTGTCGACCAGGTGGAGTCTGAGTCGAAAGAAAATAGGGGGAGGCACCCCGAGGCTTCGCCCAAGATTATGCAATCGAATCTCGAGCTCATCGGATCCGGAGCTTCAGTGAAATGATTATTATTCGTGAAGTCAGGAAATTACTCGAATGAGCGACATTCTCACTCCATTCCGAAGTTCAGGATTCAGAGGAACTCGTCGCGAGAAATTCTTTCCTGAATCTTCAGATGTTCTCGGCGTCGCCAGACCGAAGTGAGCGTGGGGTGAATTCGCAATGCGGAATCCAGTTATACGTGCCCGATGGCTCATTTCGGAGCTATTGCAACTCGGGACGATTTACTCGGGTTCCTTTCCGCCTTACTTTACTAAACACACAGGCAGCCGAAAGGCAGCGAAGAATACGGGGTTAGATTTCTTCCGACAGACTCCCGAACATTCTCAGGAGAATACGTGCATCGAGACCCCAATACCGCTTTCCCAATTGTCTAGCAGCGGCCACCCTCATCCGCGGTGGAGAAATTACCGCGTAATATCGGGGTCACGCTGTCTCGGTCTCCTTATCCGGCGCACTGGCAATATTCCGGAATACATATGACCCGAACTATGACGGTTGCGATGAATGATCCTGAGCGAAGTCACGAATCCTCCTCGTCGAGGAGTCGGCTGTGGCGGCCTAGAGAAACAGCAGCCTCGACCGAGGTCCCAATGAAGAGTGCGAGAGAGTCGCAGAAATCGAAGACGATACCTGGTCCGTCGACGGGAAGTTCGCCTCGAGAAAATATGACTCAGGCAGCTTCATCACCCGTCTGAAGAATAGATTTCGGTCTCGGTCTGATCGGGGTCAGGCCCGCGTTCCCAGACCTCATTCTCTCGCGGCTCTCTAGGTTTCCTTCGCCGAATGACCTCGATGCAGGGATGATCACAGTTATTCGGCGCACACGATTTTCATAACGAATGAGAATGGATATAAGCCCCGAATTAGAGTGTAATTCGAAACCTTCCTCCTCCCCAGCCAAGACTACGAGCGAGAAAACGTTGCGGAACTGGATTACAGAACTCGGCGGATGGCCTCTTCTTGGAGGTGTCTGGAAGACCCCGAATACTTCTCTCGAAACATTCGTCAGCCATATCAAGGTGAAGCCTTTTCGTTCGGGACTATCAACATCCTCTTCTCAATCAGCATTCGAAAAAGCAGCAGGGGTTTCATATGACAAGATAAAGGAATACGGCTAAGCGCTTATCGATGATTTCCTCTTCGAAATTTTAGATGAACTTCAATTTGGAAATTCTCTTCCATCAATGGGTTGGTCCGGACGATCGCAACTCTTCGATAAATATCATCCAGTTCGACCAAATGCCGATGGTGAGCAGAGTCACCGGGGATCGGGCTCCGCAATTTCCTGTACCGGTCCCCGCATAATACAGCCGATTGTTGTATCGCGCGTTCGGTCGGACGATGGCTCACACAGTCAGGCAGAGATTGGCTCTGTATCCACTTACTGTCAACTCAGCTCATTCTTTTCTCCAATAACAGCCATCAAAGGAGTTGGCAGGAAAATAGCTCTAACAGCATCCAACGTTCCATCAGGGCGCTCTAGGGAGAGATTGGTACATTATGGACCGCTTCGCGAAGGACAGGAAAGCCTATCAGAGGATGATCTCTGACATCGCAACGCTTCTCAGCGGACCTGGAACGAGATCAGAGGATATCCAGAAAGATATTGACAATCTCGTCGCCTTCGAGATCGCCATCATAAAGGTGCGTCCGATCCGGCGGTCGCATTGAATTCAATCGTCCCTCCGGGAAGCGTGCTCGATTAAAGATTTCTGAACGATAAGGATAAGTGTTCCACAGAGCGGTTTGCCGGAAGTGGATCGGCTCGACTCGTGGGCTCGCTACAGGAAACTCAGCTTGCGGAACCTGACGGACCTCGTTCCAGCGGTGAGGAGTCGGTCTGCCGTATACACGGCCGACTCGCTGATTCATTGCTCCTTCGGACGAATTCCCTCTTTTCTGAGAATTTTCCGAATTCGATTCTTACCCGAAGTGTCATGAAGATGATGACTTACGTGTTGGCTTCCTTGTCTGGTCTTTGCAGTTCAACTTCACCGTGTACCTCCACGAAATGTTCAAAGGCATTCCTGTTTTCATACCGGACTCAGAATCAACCGTTGTTTACGCCTACGAGACTTTTAAAGCCCTTTCTCCGATCCTAGAGAGAACCGATCGTAGAACGATCCAAAACTACGCCGTCTGGAAAGTAATAAACTCCGTCCTCCAGTATCTCCCCGAAAGGTACAGTCTGCGTACAGCGGCCGAGCAAAAACAAGAAGAGGGAAAAAGCAACAGTAATTTCCATGAAGAGAACTGTTCTCTTGGGAAATCCGTCTTAGGGAGCTGGGTTAATTGAAAACTAAGCGAACACGACCCCACTCGAGAATTTCGAAAGACGCTTACGATCTCGAGCATTTCAGAAAAAAAACTCGTTAGCGGCCCAGGACGCAAACAATCATGGGCTTTTTCCCACTGGGGGAGCGGAACTCGTTGTTGATCCAAAGGTCGAGCTTGGTATGCTTTCGGAAGCCGACCGAGAGGGAACTCACAGCGGAGAACGCGGTCTGTGGAGAGGCTCGTTCAGCTCTGTTTGACGGGGCTTTCGGAAATACCGATCGATTCCCCTTCAGAGCGAGGGCGCAAATCGTGTGGGCCGAAAATCCTCATAGGATCGCAATGTCGGATTTTTTGAGACCATCAAGTCGAATCGAACGTGGGTTCCGGCACTCATTCAAAGGATGGCCCTTGCCCTTTCGTGGCTCTCCGAGCGCTTCTTGCGTCACCGAGCATCTCTTTCGGGGAAATTCCGTTTTCCTCGACGTCGATACATCCATGCCCCCATGGACAGTGGCTCTTGGCCCGAACAACCTAGGCCCTGTTGCAGCAAGCGGAAAGCTTACCACTTCGCGCCCTTCCGTCAGCATCTGTGTGACGGGACGACCTGATTTTCGGCGTCGCGTACGCACAGGGAGGGAGGAGCCCGCTGTAACTCTTTGAGAACATCCTTCCACGCACGTCTTCCCTGCTCGGAAATTATCCTCACAGAAGAAAAATCCTACAGCTCGAGCTCTGCGCGTGTCTTTCTTGTGATGCGATCTTCAGGGATCGCTGTCAGGCATTAGCATTTCACAGAAGGAGGCGACCGTGTTTGCCCTGTGGTTAAGGCTGCAAAGTGCTCGAATGATTCGACGTTTGCTCTCTCAGGACGGGCTACCTTTCTCAAGCTGAGCCAGAGGCAGACACAGAACGTTCACGGTGGTTCTTGGAAGGAATAATTTTTCCCTATTCCAGATTTTCGAAGATCCTCCTCGAATTTCTGAAGAGTTCTAAAGGGATCCTTAGTGAGAAGAAAGAATGGAGGAACTGCGTCGACATAACGAGTGAGTCGTTTTGCTCCAATTTTTTCACGAATCCGAGAAGATCGATGTAAGGATGGACGCGACCGAATCTCCGCGAAATGCTCAAGGGAAGAAGCTGCCCCTTTTCCCCTGTTCGACAACCACGGAATATCACCGACCGGGGGTCCCGTATGGAGTCGTCCCTTTTTTCGATTCCACGATCACACTCCTCTGATTTCAGCTAAGAAAATGGGCTATGGAGTAAGTGCACTTTTCATTCGAGACCACTTCGATCGTTCGTCGAAGACTATCGCTCAAGAGATGATTCACAATCTCAGGGAAGCTTTCAACGAGCTCCTCGAGGAAAATGACTGGATGGATCAGGATACAAAAAAGGTGAATTGAATTATGCCTCTGGAGTCTGTTCGTCTGAAACATGACGGAGACCCCATACCTCCTCCGGCTCCAGCATGATGCCCCATATGCCTACGGCATCCCTCGGGGGTACCACCCTCGACTTTTGTAGGACGCAGCCGGCTACCGCCCGGGCACTACCGTCTCCCGCTCGAAACAGCCTCAAGGTGGCTGTGAGAATATTTCTTATCCCTTGTCTGCTTCCGGTCGCACTGCGAGAGGCTTCAAAACACCGCAGCTCTCGGGCTCTGTACCGCTGTTCCAGAGACCCTGATCTAGGGCGGAGCGATCTCCAATTTCCATGAAAGATCCAGAGAATCGCCCCCACTCGGAACAGAATCAGCTTGCTCGATTCCAATCGTCACGTTCGTGTCACGTCCAGATCGCTAATATAGCGCCGGCGCGTCGTCGGGGCTATGCCGCGGCGGTCTTTCGGTCCCAGACCATTCTGCGTCTGATTCTTCTAGAGTGCTGAGATGGTTCATTTGAGATTCAATTCCAGGTCGCTCGAGAAAAAGCAAATTCTATGAACGAAAAGATCGGATACCCTGATATCTTCGATAATGACAGCCTTCTCGCCGGCGAGTACAACGAGGTGAGCTTTGAGCGTGACCTGGTGGTGAATCGACTCTCGTTCCCAGCTAAGTGTCACTTAAATCTCCTGACGAAGGGGCGATTATGAGGGCGTTGTAGGGGACGATGAGGTTGTATGACCGGAATAAGTTGTAAGGAGATTTCCATCCGCTGCCGAGGAATAGAGACTGACCTGCGGCCATCTGGAAGCGAACTTCGTCAAACTGGGTCTAAGAATCATTCTCGATTGCACTTGTGGGAATCCGGGAATGACTGAGAAGCCAAAGCGGCGGAGAAGGAGGAAACATGGACGAGCCGTCGCGGCCGGCGCGAGGAATCATGCCATGGTGATCTCAGGCCTTCTGTCCCGAACTTGCAGCTTGAAATCAATCCCGTATTCCTGGAATCGCTCCGGAATCTCGGTCGATGGGAAAGCGGTCGGACTCACATTCGACTCAGACAAACCGTGGACAGGAATAGGTGGACCAATAATCCTGCTGTGGTGAACGCTTTTTACGGGCCCAACAAGAACGACATTGTATTTCCGGCTAGCATTCTTCAACCATTCTTCTACAGGTAGGTTCATCCTACGTATGGGTATGCTAGTCGAGTGGGCTCCAATGAACGTTTTCTGAGATGTCGCTCAGAAAGCCATAGAATGCATCAGTGGAAGTGGGAATCCGAAAACAGGGTCGAGAGAGGAATCGCAGATTCACCTCAATCACATTAGTGCACAGGTCTGGATGTGATATGCTCGCGAAGCACTGAGGGTGATGGAAGCTGCCTCCGGGTGCTCCATTGGTAAGAACTCCGATTTGGGGTTCACGTCGCGCCGCTACCTTATGTTCCGTCCACCAGTTTTCCGCATAAGGTTTCCGCGCTCCGCCTTCGACCTGCAGGATCTGAACCGGCTGGCGAGATTGGCGAGGCCGTCGCGGTCAAAGAATCTGATTGAGTTGATTGCATTCGACGACCAATCTGGCGCAAGACACGGATGCTTCAAGATTACATGACTCTGAATCCACTGGCGGTTTGTATCGAAAAATCGTGAGGGAAAGCCTCACGCGAAGCTTCCTAAAAATTGGGGGAGGTGGTTGCTGGATCTCATCGATCATCAAGCAGCTAGATGGCTTAGTGACGCGAGAGGCTCGATGGAAAATTCTCGACGGAAGCCACACTCATAATTCTCAGGTACAGTCCCGAAATTCTATCATCCGGAAATAGAGGTTCTCGGAGGGAGGTAGAGTGGCTCGTACAGCTTTCTCATCCGGATTCGGATCGACTTGTCGGGGTGTGTGCTCGAACTAGCTTGAGCTTAGCGCTTTCAGGAGGTTATTTCGCAGTCGTGCCACCGCTGCTCGATTTAGCGGAACGTAGTCAGAGCTGACTGCTTTCGACCATCTCCTGGTATTCAGAGACCGCGAGATCCGCGATGACATTTCGAGTCCGATGGGAACGGCATAGCAAAAAAAAGAATCGGATGAACTTCGGGGTTATACGCTGTGCACACCGCGAAGTTCCAATGCGTGACCAGCTCGGAGAAATTCCGTCGTTTCAACGCGCTGATTAACTTCGACCCGAGGTGGCCAAAACTCCAAGTCTGGGCGAGGTCTGCTCGATTACAGCCGGATAGGGATATGTGTGCTGGAGATCGAACAGCCCCTTACAATCACCTCAAGATTTGGAACTACATAAAGAGTTTTTTTTCCGGGGCCGCTTATGAGACAACGGTTTTCTTTTCAGTAAGCATTTTCCGAAGTCGGTGAACTACGGAGGAATCGGGGTTGTAATCGGTCACGAAATCACTCATGGTTTCGATGACAAGGTTCGTATGACAACTTCTCGATGCAGTGTCACTATTCTCCTCTCCTCGTTCGATCAAAGACCGTCCCTGGTTCCCGACGTCGGACCAGCGATTCTGAGAGACAGTAGAGTCCAGCCGATGCATGCCGATATTGACATGAATCTAAGATCTGTAAGAGGGGTTCCTCATCGCGCATCTCTAGGAGAGACTCGTATTCATGAGTATCGTCTCCTCGTATATCCTGGAGAGCTTCGGACGGGGACCCTTCCCGCATGGATGAGAAGCCCATTTTAGCATGAAGTCTCTCCTTTTATTGGAACTTCGAACTGTGGCGAGATCGCTGAAGCCTGAGCTCGCCGTCACGAGTGGCTGTTCCCTGAACGCTGTGGGCTCAGAACTGGGCTCACCCAGTGTGACCGCAATCCGGCTTTGAACTTCATGATGATCGTATTCTTCAACCCGTGACGATCCTTCTATTCTAGGGGCGCCAGTTCGATAAGGACGGTAACATGCAGCTGTGGTGGAATAACAAAACGATCGAAACTTTTCGTAAACGAGCAGAATGCATGATCGAGCAGTACTCAAAGTACTCCATGCCAGGATTCGGCAACGTGAGTATCGTTGGTACTTGTGCGTTCCTACGGGGATAAGGGAGCTCGAATGTCTTCGGAAACCCACGCAGAGTTAGCGCGACGTACGAGAGCCCGTTTTGAGCGCGAAAGCATTTTGTGGTGCGTGATTACATCAACGTCGACGTTGCGGAAGTGAGCAATCGAGTTCACGGACTGAACGAGGACATCGTCCGGTGAACGGCCATGCGTGACTCGAAGGACCTCAATTCTAAGACAGCTCATTTTGAAGGTGAATGGACGTCTGACTCAAGGAGAGAACATTGCGGACAATGGAGGACTGAAGCAGGCCTTCCGAGTGAGTAACTCCGTCTCACTATTACTATTTCCCCTAGTTTTCCTTCGCCGGTCCGTTTCGCTCAACCCGCCTGTCTCTATGGACTGGAACTTTGGATCGGGGGAAACCGGTCCGCCATTGTTCGGTCGGCAGTTCCGCTTTCGAGAATTTCATTGAGCTTCACCGCTACCGACTTCGAGCTTCGATCTCTCGATCCATTTTTTAACAATGCTTGCTCTCTTTAGAAGTTTGCGACTTGCACAGGCTCCCATAGACATAAGCCCAAAGGACATTGTGTAAACTCACGCATTCGACGATTATGCTCCGGGAGGACGTTGCTCTCTAGTACGGTCGTCGCATGGGCTTCGAGCGCAATGAGCGCGACACCAAGTGTGATGAATTCTCATATACTGACAGTAGAGGATCAGGCAGGATAGGAATTAACAATTCCGGATTCATTCCGTTTGTAGACCATCAATGCCGACTGAGTGGCTCTACCGCGCGCTGTGCCGAGCCCCGTCACGTTTGTTGTACTATAGGCTTCAGGACCTCGCCAGACCAGGACAGCCCAGTTGCTTTCGGTCGTGGCTCACATCTAACGCGGCCGGTGCTGCAGCGTGACGGCTTTGTCACGGAATTAACCCCGACATGAAGCTCCCTAGGTCCAACGATTCTGCCCCCATCGTGAACGGATGCTTTGCCATCACGCATACTTTCGCTCTGGAACTCTAAAGTTGAATTCTAGTAGAATCGATCGGATAAGTCGATTGGTCAGGCCATGGCACGATCGGACGCACCCTGCTTGCCGCTTTCCAAACTCAGGAAACGGGCTCGAGAGTTGAGGGTATCAGTTTATATGGATCTTCGAGGGCCCGTGAAGTCTGGCGTGCATGAGGACGATCACTACGACGAACCTCAGAAAACGGAAGTGATCAGAGTATGGTGGGTGTGAAATGTCTCGTCACCCCTGCCTCAATTTCCGGCCCGTGTAGCTCAGGCCGCAGGTTCCGCGGTGATAAGCCGCAGAGGATCTCCACTCGGACTTTCCTGGAGGCGGTCCCGTGCGACGGAGATTTTCGAAAGAGGACAAGCCGAGACGCGTCCCTCATGACCGTCAGCCTCGCGAGACTACTAGTGAGCATATAAAAGGGAAAAATTAGCAGCATCTGCTATAATTAGGGGAACCTCCGATAAGCGCGAACCGGAGTCTCCTAGAGCTCCTCGGCGATCCTCGAGGATGGCCACGAATCTCTCGAGTCGTCTGCAAGTTCAAGTTCGCTCGGGGCCGAGCGGCGCGGTCGTGGGCACGCAGCTTTGTCCTCGACTGAACGAACGTGATCCGAAGCGGACGTCGCTTTCAAGGTTCGCCCACAGTGGAATGACAAGCGGTTTCCATAAAAAGGGTCTTTATCTTTTTCTACGACTGTGCTCGGGTACGGCGAATTCGCGATTTTGCTGGCTCGTACCTCGTCTATCCACGGCCCAAACGCTGCTGTTCTCAGCACGAGCGGTGCATACTCGGAATTCCTACCCCGTATTCGTCTCATTCCGTCGCGGGGAATAACGTCCTCCATGTCGCATGCTCACAAGACCCGACACGTTCGCATCTCAGATGTCAACGACCCGTATCGCCGTCGAGCGTTCCGGGGCAATCTTTGGATAACCGAGTTCGCGATATACACAATTTCTCGGAAAAAATTCGGCGAATCCTCGGTTCGAATGTTGAACTGTTTCCATCTCCGTTGACGCAGGGCCCTTCGGCCGAAATCCGATCAGAGTGCTGTCAGAAAGGATCAATGTTCCTAGTTTTCGAGGCTCGGGTCATTAGATAAGGTGATGTCGTAACAGGAACCCCTACCGCTGTTTCGACATGTTACGCGCGGCACGACGCATCCACTGAATCGCATCACTTGCTTCTAATGATGTCGGATTTATCTCGACACGACTCCGGCTCCACCTGAGATCCGCTTCCCCCTCCCGAAAACCTCTCTTAAACGAGGACGGCTCCCGGGAAGACGAAACTGAAGACGTGCTCTCGTCGAACACTGAAAATTCCCTAAATTCATCTCGTGTTCGTCAGTCTGAGAGCTTTTTCCTATCAGAGCACTGGAGGAGTACGCTCCCATGATCTCAAGAGCTCCGGTGTGCCGATAAGTTGCTTCTGTCAGACGGACATCAAAAGCCGAATCGCTCGCTATAATTGGGAAACTTCCAGCAGGCAGCTGAATCTTGCAAGAGGAACGGAAAGAATATCTGTGAGTGGGGGAGACAATGTCAACGACTGGTACGTGTTGTGTAGTCAGCGCATCGCTTCTCGTTGCGAAAGGCGGAAGACTCGCCTATGCTTTCGCTATCTTGGTTTGGCCTGCCGCCTATACAGCCACGAGCTCCAGGAGCGCTCTCCGAGCCGATTAACTTCGAGCTGCTCTTTTGGAAGATCACGAAGAAACCCTTTCCAACCACAGATCGCAACGAGCCGAGAGATCATCCCGCTTGTCCTGAGATCCTGAAACAGGCCAGGCGACCCCCGAGGACCTCAATGGACCCGGGGATATATTCTACACCTTTTTTCTCGTTGGACCTACCTCACAATATGAGTCCTCGAGCAGAAAAAATCGTAGCGGAAAGTTGATGGTCCTACGCAAAGGATTACATTCGCCCCCTCTTCGCTAATTTCGACTGGTCGGTATTCCGCATTCCTGGGCGCCAGCAGATTACTGACGATGAGAACATCATAGACGCCATCACCTACGTGACTCCAACTCCATCCCGGAAACGGGTGAACGATTCTCATCCGCTCTGAGTGCCTGCCCCTCCAAGAGCGACGTAGTCGCGACCTCTATGAGGCAGAAATCGGATGCTGGATGGTCTCCGATAGGCAGAGGAATATCTCCAGTAGGAGAGATCTGATGACGCCCGAGATGACACTTCTGATTTAGACAACACCGAGAGTCCCGAGAGAAACCGATCCGGCGTCCGGACGAAAACAAAGCGAGCTAGGGAATCCGATTCTCCGAGCTTGGGAGAGTATCTGTTGCAGGACCAAACCGTTCTCTGGAGACCCTCCGGAGGGTCTCTTCGAAAACTGTCTTAGATGCGCGGCTTGAATATATAGAGGTTGATATGAGAGGCTTGAACTCCTCTGGTCGACGCTCCTACCCGGACCCTAACCTTGAGCGGAGCTTTTCTGTCGCTCTCCATGTCGAATTCTATCCGACGATTCGTGGGTTTGGATAGAGCTCTCCGTGTGCGCACATGTCGTGGGAGAAAATCGGAGCCCCAGACACACTGCTCGGAACGAACGTCGACTTTGCCTCTGCTGTCAGATACGTCTTGGAGTCGATCGCCCGTAACGAGTCGATTACGGGGGAGACGGCAGATTTCTCGCGACCAAAGAGTAGTCTGTATTGACGCGTCGTCGGTAATGAAGGCCGCACCGTCCAAATAGTTTTCTCTCCCTTTGTTCTCGTCATTCTCCGGAGTCCTCGCGTCCGTCACACGGAATCCGATAGGCCCCAGGCGGGTTGGAACAGCGATCCCGCGCCAGGACAGGCGCGAGAAGGAAGAAGTCATTCCAATTACGACGACTAAGCTGGAGCGGCCGAAAAGCACGGGAAGACTTTTCTACGGGAGCTGAGCGATTCTCGAGAGTGAGACCTGACACTGACTTTCGCATTATCGTAGCGATCGCACGAGATCAGCGTAAGCGGATTTCTTCCCACAGATCTCTATCGACGGGCGTGTGGATCGCATTTCGACCTTTGCAGAGATGCCGGAATGCTTCCGGGTTGGCTATAGCGAGCCTCATTGGCCGGAACTTTCGGGATTACGGGAGGAGTAGCGGGTGCTAGGCAGCTCCGAAAATGTCTCGAAGTGAAATATCCTCGTCGCCTCCGATATCCTGGTGAGATCGGCCAAGGTCGTGGATAAATTCTCGGCGGCTGAAGTTTACTCCAGTCCGACCCGCGCATCAATTGCTCACTGGCGGCATCGGACAAATTTCGCAGAGAGAGATCCGACGATTATTTCGGCGACATTTTTCTCGATGATCAACCTCCATGAATATCGTGATCCCGGTTCGAACTCGGTCCGACTGGTGACTCTGGAATCGTTTCGTGCTCTTTCTGAGAGAATCGTAGGTTCGTGAGTGGAGGCAATCGAGAATTCCACAGGATCTCGTCCTCGTTTGCGGGCAGCTTTGCCTAAAAACCACGGCGCGTTCGACGCATAATAATAATCCGTGGGAGAAACCTCTCCATTGAGCGAACCCGAAGAAGTCGGAGATCAGAGACATTCTGAAGCTGTTCTCTCCGTTCGGGAATGCTGTACCGACAAGGGAAGATGCGTCAATTCTCGTTCCTCGCGACCCATTCTCACCAGGAATTCGAATTCGATAGCCGCGGATAACACGGAAGACAAATGACCGATGATGAATAATCACAGTCGAGATTTGTCGAAGAGCACGCCGCGTTCGCTATCGGAAATCTGGGTGAGTTGGCTGTGCATGGCTGGCTGGCTTCACAGTTCACGTAACCGGTCGGCGCGGTTCAACTCCGCGACGAGGGCTGGGGGAAGGTACGTCCGTCCGTACATACGTACGTAGCTATGGAGACGTGATAAACAGCGGACTTCGAGACTCCTGGCTAGACAGCAGTCGCTCCCTTGAAACACTCCGGATAGCATCCTGCTTAACAGAGGGACAGGCTTCTCTGTGAGCGTACAGCATGCCCAAATACTCAGCTGTGGTCTGCGCACAACGAGACGACCTTGAACTCTCTGGTGCGACAGCGTCTCCAGCGTCAAGGTCGCTCGGTCTGGACTGTATAAGTGCGAGTGACGTCTGAGACGGAGCAGCGCAACCGCCGAAACTTGCTCAATTTCAAATCATTAGCCATCCAATCGACCCAAGTAACGTGTTTCATCTAGTTCGCTCGTGAAAGTGACTCATCTCGTAAACTGTGCTGGAACTCATAATTTTTTCTACTTTTATATCGACTACTACGACATACGCTCCGAGAATC